TCTCTTTCTCAGTCGCTCCCTTATCTATCTATCTATCTATCTATCTATCTATCTATCTATCTATCTATCTATCTATCTATCTATCTATCTACTTGCCATCATATTAACTCTCCCATATTGAAATAAACCACGATGTGCCCCTCCCCCCCAAAAAAAAACAAACACAAAATGTAAAAAATCATCTCGAGCAATTTCAGCACTACCATACACCTCACAGAAAGTATAACTTTTCTACTCATAGTTTTTTTTCCTGTCTCCCCCATCTGGCCTCGTTCCTTCGTCAGCAGAGTTCATGCGGTCTTTCTCTTGGTACCGTGACAGTAATCCCCGATTGCGTGACGAGGACAAGCCCTCCCAATATGGACCAATATTCCATTGACAGCTTATAAACATGATCAATCATACCTGATCGATTAAACGCACGATGTCGGAACTCTGCCAGTGCCGCGAAACCAAAACGTAGTACTTTGCCGGTGTGACAAACTCGACCGCCGCTGAGCTCTGTCTAGGGGAAAGAAGGATTCCTTTCCACGATAAATTTTGTACTTTCGTCGCTGTCTCGTCTGTCGCGCCCACTCGATTTCGTTTGTGTCTTGTTGGGTATTCAGAACGGTGGCAATTCCAAGGTGGATACTTTGAGGATGTGTCTGCATTTTTGGTTTTTCTATGAAGTTTAGGGTGAGCAGTGTTGGGTCATGTTGGGTAAAAGACATGACATGTATGAGTTATGTGGCTGGGCGGTGACCCTCATGTCGATGTGTGTTCAGGTTTAAGTACTATGTCAGTCAAGTAATAAAAGCTATTGTGGATGATCATAATATTCGGACTTCTGTCAAGTTCTGTGACTCGTAAATAGCCTAAAAGTGTGTTTTCACGCAGCGTGTATCTTTGTGTGCTTTTTTTCGGGGGTGTTATAATTATATGTATATGTTGTTGGTGTTTTTTTTGCTTTAAAAATCTGGTTGCTTTTGCAGATTAGTTTTTTAGTTGAAGGAGTGTTTATTCATTTGAGAATTTTGGTTTGACAGACAATACTATATCTATCAGTCTACCTTTGTCTCATCATCATCATCATCATCATCATCATCATCATCATCATCATCATCATCATCATTGAGTGACCACTGCCTTCGTTAACTTCGCCTTTTTCCAATATTGACTATTCCCCTGTCCATTAGTTTTATAAAAACGAATAGACCACTCCCCCCTTCCTATCTACAGACCTTCATACAACAAACCATAAGAATACCCCGACCCCCCGCCTTTTTATTCACACTGTCTTATAACGCAGTATAAAATGCATACAATCAGTGCATTTCAGTGTTGCTGCTGAATCTTTTTAGATTAATGTTCTTGATTATCCACCCTAAAGTTCCCTCCTGGATCAGTGAATCTCATCTCATTCCATCTCACCCCACCTAATCTTAACCCAGTGTGCGTTTGTATGTAGTGTGCTTGTCTGTGTGAGAGCGTTTGCATGAGTGTGTTTAAATACATGTATTGTGTCATGTGTTTGAATCGTTCATGTCAAGCACATTTATATGTGGGTGGTTGGCGGATGCTCCTTCTTTCCTATCGTCCTTATGTCCCCCTCCCTCTTTTGTGCGTTTGTTACTCTCTTAATGCAATCTTTTCTAATCTTCGGCACCTATATGACGTTTTTGTGTAGCAAGTGCCGTAAAACACTTACAAAAAACAAGCATTTTTATGCCAATTCACCCTAAGAAAGTAGCCAAAAGAAGGGATCTTATGAACAGGAGTTCGGGCTGAGTTAATTGCCCAGTGAATGTTTGAGTTTGAGGCAATAATGACCTTTGTCTGTTTCTCCACAGTGCTGAAGCCTGCAATATAAGGCAGGCGTAACTGGATATGAAATGACCTCTGAACTCAACGCAATTGTCGGTGGGAGTGTTGCTGGTGGCTTTTTTATCATTGTGTTCGTCGCTATTGGAATTTATTTCATTTGTAGGTGAGTACAGCTATTCCTAATGTGTTTGTATTGTTCTCGGGTAAAGTACATGACTGAAGGTTTGTTGTATCTTTTCTACATTGACAACGTATGTATTTCCTTTTTAAAAAGGCTTTTGTGTTCTCAAAAATATCTGCATTATGATTATCAAATTAAACAGTCTTTCATCTGGTGCAGCAAAAGGTGAAATACATGTATCATCATGCTGGTCTGCGATACAAGTGACCCAGGTGAAAATGAGAAGAATATTGATTGTACATTAGTGTGGTGTTTCACCATTTACACACACACACAAACACACACACACACACACACACATACAAACACACACACACTCACACACAAACACACACACACACACACACACACACACTAACACATTATATGCATTATCACACATACACACACACACACAAACGCACACAAGCACACACAGAAACACACAAATACACATACGCACACAAACGCATACACACATACACACATACACACACATACGCACACAAACACACACACACACACACACACACACACACACACACACACACACTAACTCATAAACACATACACACACAGACACGCCCCCCACCTGACCCCCACATCTTTTCCCTCCGATTTCCCTCCAATCTACTTATCGTCGGCAAGCTATTGATATGTGCTGAAGAAGATATCACAGTTTTTTCAGGCGAGAAAAAAAACGTTCAATTCTTCACGCAAAATTTTACTCTACCATATGCTTCTTTTGCTCCGTTTCTTCAACTTTTAGAATTTGAATTTCGAACAAATTTGACCAGTATATATGGTCGCTTTTAAGCACAAGCTGGCTATCCCGTAGAATGATGTTTTGAAAAAATCGAAGGTAACGTTTTTGCCCCTTGTTCAGTTTCTTTAAAAGACATGGAGAGTTTTCTCTATAACCAAATATACTCACCAATGAAACCAAACGTTTTCTATAAGTAGGGCAATGCCAACTTTTGGTGTAGGTCAAGATTTCTGGAAACCCCCGAAATCTGGGTTATCCTGCTTGTCCTTTAAAGCGACCATATGCAAACGAGACCACAGGTTAAGAATTGCAATAAATTATTTTTGTTTCAAAATGTAATACTTATTACATTCGAAAGCTGGCCGACAATAAAATCTCTTTTGAAGACATGCAACGCAGTGACACTGATGACTGGAATGAGATGAGTTACGAACGACTTGCCGCCTGATGCGGTCAATAACTTAACAAAATTAATTATTAAGATTAAGATTTTGTAATGCATTAAAAGGATTAAAACCCAGCCGAGACATGTTCATCAAATACAAGTGTTCTTCTAGGTGACTGAGATGGCAGGCGAGTGGCGACCAGTCATACATCAGATAATCTGTATACTGTTATTATATTATTATTATATTCGTGAAAGTTTGTCAATTTGGTCGCCTAAACACTTAACTTTCGAATTTTGACAAAATCAATGGTAATTCGGAATCATTGAAAGGGTGCACAGTTCTATTGAGGAGCCTGAAGTCACTGTAGACAAGTTTAATTTTCAGTTTTTCATTAGTTTCGTTTAGATCTAATCTTGGGAAAGTCCGTCTTCTAAGACGTCATTGTAAACAAGTGAGCCTTCCGTGCACATGCAGTGTGCACTGCACCTACTAATGACTTGACGATCGATTATTTTGAGTATGTTCATCGAACGGGGTACCCAGCTAGTATAGTTATATTTGTGAAAGTTCGTCACTTTGGTCGCCTAAATCTTCCGAACCACTTAACTTTCGAATTTGAAAAAAAAATTAACGGTAGTTCCGAATCATTTAAAGGGTCCACAGTTATATTAAGAAATCTAAACTCACTGTAATTTAATTTTCAGTTTTTCATTAGTTTTGCTTAGATTTAACCCTGCGAAAGTCCGTCTTCTAAGACGTCAAGTGAAGCGTCCATTCACAAGCAGTGCGCAGTGGTTCCACTATGACTTGACGATCTGTTCTTTTGCGTCCGTTCTTCGTACGAGCACTCAGATAGTGTAGCATAATTCTCTGTTGGTGAAGTGACCCCTGTCTTGTTCAATGGGAGTTTCCAAGCGTCAATAGCTAGACAGTTCATAAACCAAGATATATGAGCACAGCGTGATTAGGGTGAATGGATCGATTTTGTAGAAGTGAGAGGGAAGAAATAGAATCGAGTTTGGTCATCGTCTTGTAGCTTTTCTTCGTTATATAAATTAATGTCCTTGTCTGTCTCTGTCTGTCTCTCTGTCTCTGTCTTTGTCTGTCTCTCTGTGTCTCTGTCATTGTCTCAATCTCTGTCTGTCTGTCTGCTTGTCTGTCTGTCTGTCTGTCTGTCTGTCTGTCTGTCTGTCTGTCTGTCTGTCTCTCTCTCTCTGTGTGTGTGTGTGTGTGTGTGTGTGTG